CACCAACTACTAATACGAATATTGGCACGGATGCCACACGTCCCCCAACCAGAAGGGAAGCAACGGGAGGCCACGTCGCCCCACCGATCCCGGATCTGGCGACTCTAGGGGGCAAACACACCTACCTCGCTTTTGACCACCCTCGCTTCCAAGGGATACCAAGCGATGCCAAAGGCCTGTACTGCTCAGGCCGCTTGACGAGGAGGCGCGTGGTATGACCTGGTTTTGCCTGGAAGCGAAAGCGGGGTAGGTAATTCACGCTCTGAGACCCACTCAGTCCATGGGAGGGATACAGAACTTTGCAAACAAGTCGTTAAGGAAAGTCTGCGCTCCCGGGGCAAAGACCCCCTCATGAGCAAACTGTGGCCCCGCGCTTTCGCGGCCAAGACCCTCGTCAAAAACGATGGGCCCGCGTTCTGGGGTCCACGCCATGACCTGTACAAACAAACTGTGGACCCGCGGTCCCGAGGCCACACACGAGTCAACAAAACATGGGGGCCGCACTCCAAACAGGTCACAATCCTGCTTAAACAGGATATGGGCTCACGCTTCCGAAGACACGATCGCTCGTCACGAACAATGACCCACACCCCCGAGGCCACGGTCCCTCGAACATAACATTGGACTCGCGTTTCCAAGGCCACGGTCCTTCGAAAGAGGAATGGACCCGCGCTGCCACAGAACCGGGGACAACATCATATATTTGTATTTCCGTTTGCACGACTTCTTGTCTAAAAAATAATTCCGCGCTCCGAACCCGCCAACAAAAAAAACAAGCATCCAACCAACCAAACATCGTGCCAGCCAACCAACTGGCAAACTCTCGCTGTCATTATATTCGCTGTCTTCGTCCTTATCGCACCTTTCCCTTAGCATCCGGGCGTGTCTGAAAATGAGGGTGAAGACGGGGAAGAGGATGCGGATGGATACGGGGGTAATACGATCACGATGACGATGGTGATGGTGGCGGTGCTGCTGATGATGATGACGATGATGATGCTGATGGTAATGATTGTTGCTGGTATCATTTTTGGTATTATGCTTATCGTTACGATCGTAGTTGGTATAACTAGTACTACTCATATGGATATAAGGATGATGGTGGTGATGATGGTGGTGATGATGACAATGGTGACGTTGACGATGCTGTCATGATGATAAAACGATGGTGTACGAGTGTTGATGTATAGTGATATGATGATGACGAGGAGGACAGGACAGAACAGGACATCCGCAAAAAGGGGGTCAACGTCAACACACCTACACTGGTGCCTTGCGCGCATCTGGCAAAATGCCCTGCGACGTGGTTGTGCAACGGCCCTGGCTTCTCACTAAGACCGGCAGAGGAGAGGGCATAACCCGAAGCTTCAAACAATGAGCTCCGAAGTGGCCCCGTAAGGGAGGCTCGCTACCGTGTGAGTACGAGTCCCTGAGGGTCAGTGCGGGGGGAGCAACTGTTGGTCCTTCCGCGCGCCCGTGGAATTGGGGACGCGCTGGGCGAGCAGGGCTCCCAAGCTAGGGGGGAAGAGGCGACGACACGACCACCCAAAAGGAGAAGAGGAGGAGAATCGGGAGGCCCACGCTTTCCAAACTTTTGTTGGGGAACCCAATTATCCTACTGGTTTTACGCTATCATAGTATCTCTTTCCCTTTTGTTGTTCTCTCTCTCTCTCTCTCTCTCTCGGCTCACTTCCTTCCCATAGCGAAGTGGCCAATAGTTGCCCCATGCATTGTCGCATCTGTACCCTGATACCCTGCAGTAGTACCCCACTGCTCCCGCTCGAAGTGCAGGCAAGGAAAAGCATGCTGATAATCACGGTCTCTTGGAGGCGGGGCCATCGGGGAAGCGCTCAGGTGGCCTTGTTTCCCATTCTTCGCTCCCCGCAGTAGTGCGCCTGTCGGCGCTCCAAAAAAAAAACCCTGGCGAAGGATCCAACCAGAAACAATTGTTCGTAACGCGTTGTGGGTGCCGTTTTCGGTGGGCCTCCCTATGGGGCCACGATGCGCTGCCTTGGGCGGGGGAGCCGCATGCGAACTGCGCCACTGGGGCGGGCCTTCGGTGGAGCTCCATATGGGGCCACGGAACGCTGCCATGGGCGGGGGAACCGCATGCGAACTGCGCCACTGGGGCCTTCGGTGGAGCTCCCTATGGGGCCACGAAGCGCTGCCCTGGGCAGGGGGAACCGCATGCGAACTGCGCCACGCTTCGGTGGAGCTCCCCATGGGGCCACGAAGCGCTGCCCTGGGTGGGGGAACCGCATGCGAACTGCGCCACGGGGGCCTTCGGTGGAGCTTCCCATGGGGCCACGAAGCGCTGCCCTGGGCGGGGGGGCCGCGTGCGAGAGCAGCCACTGGGGCCTCCGGTGGAACTCCCAATGGGGCCACGAAGCGCTGCCCTGGGTGGGGGGACCGCATGCGAGAGCAGCCACTGGGGCCGTCGGTGGAGTTCCCTACGGTGCCACGAAGCGCTGCCCTGGGTGGGGGAACCGCATGCGAACTGCGCCACTGGGGCCTTCGGTGGGGCTCCCTATGGGGCCACGAAGCGCTGCCCTGGGTGGGGGAACCGCATGCGAGAGCAGCCACTGGGGCCTTCGGTGGAGCTCCCTATGGGGCCACGAAACGCTGCCCTGGGCGGGGGAACCGCATGCGAGAGCAGCCACTGGGGCCTTCGGTGGAGCTGCCTATGGGGCCACGAAGCGCTGCCCTGGGTAGGGGGAACCGCATGCGAGAGCAGCCTCTGGGGCCTTCGGTGGGGCTCCCTATGGGGCCACGAAGCGCCGCCCTGGGCAGGGAAACCGCATGCGAGAGCAGCCACTGGGGCCTTCGGTGGAGCTCCCTACGGTGCCACGAAACGCTGCCCTGGGTGGGGGAACCGCATGCGAGAGCGGCCACTGGGGCCTTCGGCGGAGCTCCCTATGGGGCCACGAAAGCCACTGGGGCCTTCGGTGGAGCTCCCTATGGGGCCACGAAGCGCTGCCCTGGGCGGGGGAACCGCATGCGAGAGCAGCCACTGGGGCCTTCGGTGGAGCCCCCTATGGGGCCACGAAGCGCTGCCCTGGGTGGGGGAACCGCATGCGAGAGCAGCCACTGGGGCCTTCGGTGGAGCCCCCTACGGTGCCACGAAGCGCTGCCCTGGGTGGGGGAACCGCATGCGAATTGCGCCACGGGGGCCTTCGGTGGAGCTTCCCATGGGGCCACGAAGCGCTGCCCTGGGTGGGGGGGGCGCATGCGATAGCAACCACTGGGACCTCCGGTGGAGCTCCCTATGGGGCTACAAAACGCTGCCCTGGGCAGGGGGAACCGCATGCGAGAGCAGCCACTGGGGCCTTCGGTGGAGCTCCCTACGGGGCCACGAAGCGCTGCCCTGGGCGGGGGGACCGCTTGCGATAGCAACCACTGGGGCCTTCGGTGGAATCCCCCATGGGGCCACGAAACGCTGCCCTGGCTGGGGGAACCGCATGCGAGAGCAGCCACTGGGGCCTTCGGTGGAGCTCCCTATGGGGCCACGAAGCGCTGCCCTGGGTGGGGGAACCGCATGCGAGAGCAGCCACTGGGGCCGTCGGTGGAGCTCCCTACGGTGCCACGAAGCGCTGCCCTGGGTGGGGGAACCGCGTGCGGGAGCAACCACTGGGGCCTTCGGTGGAGCTCCCCATGGGGCTACGAAACGTGCGAGGGGTGTGCCGAGAGCAGAGGCAAGGAGGGGGAGGAGGGAGGAGGGAGGGGGCAGCGGGAGGAGACGCGGGGCACCGTCTCTTCAAAACGAGGACCCGGCGCCACAGGACGGTTGGGAACAATTCCCAAGACGTTGTCCGTGCGGGCAGTCTCTTGAGGGTCCTCACGCCGAGATGGCCCCGCTAGTGATGGTCCCACTGAGTCTGCCCGCCCTGCCTGCCTACAGTCGCACTCCGAAAGATCCTCGCAAATGCACCTCTTGGCGTTGTCAACGAGCTCTCTCACTTGCGGCCGCTGCAGCTGGCCGCCTCCTCGGACTTGGCGCACTTTTCGAAAATCCCGGTACCATCCGGCAGGGTCTTCGTGCTGTCTCGTACCTGCTGACGCTTGTTGAGCCTTTTCGTTTCCACCTCCTCTGGGTCGAATGTGTCCTCGTTATTCAACTCCTTCAAGGCGACCTTCATGGCGCTGTAAAGGTTCTCCTCGTCGTCCTTCGATATTTTCTGCGCCGAAGGCTTTCCTCCCAGCAGTTTCCCACGCGTCCACTGGCACCTTGCGATCAGTGCGCATCCGTCGAGCTTATGCGTCATCGAGAAGAACAGTGGGATCAGCTCGAGGAGCTCCTTTGGACTCATCTTCTGGGCGGCGCCGTAGAACTTGTAATGGTTGTCCTTGGTGGCGTCGTCTAGCTTCTGCGGCAGCCTGTCCGCTACGAACGCTTCCCACGTCTCCCCCACCTTGAGCTCTTTTTTTTTTTTTTTTTTTTTTTTGTTTTTGTTTTTTTTTCAAGCGGCTTGTGACACCGCGCCATGACGCAACTTGCACAACCAAATCCAGCTCGATCCAGCATCTATACAAAACACCACCACAATGAGGAGGAGGAGGAGGAGGAGGAGGGTGGTGGTGGTGTTGTTGATGATGCAAATGTTGATGATGGTGCTGTTGCTGATGGTGGTACTCCAGAAATGTACGCCGGACTCACTTCTATAGCGCTCATTTCTATAGCGTTCACTTTGCAGTTGTGGTCCAGAAGGGGCCGCACATGCAGGCACATGCCGCACAGTCGCATGCACATGCCCAAGCAAATATACAAAAACCTCAACAGCATTGCCGCACATGCGCGCACATGCCACACCGTCCGACGCACAGTCGAATGCACGGTCAAACAAAACTCTGAAAGCATAGACGCACATGCCCGCACATGCCGCAGAGATGTCGCAGGCGATAGTGGCCTGACCACCTGAGCTCGGGGCATTTCGCAACCCAGAGTTGCGAGGATGTCTCAGGCAAGCTTGGCCAGACCACCATGGGGCAGAGCATCTTGGAAACCAGAGTGGCGAGGATGTCGCTGGTCAAGGTGACCAGACGACCATGGGGCAGGACACCTCCGAGGTTTGAGTATGATGGATACATCAAAACACAGCGCACATGCCCCCCGCACATGCCCGGGCACGACGTGCACAGTAGGAAGTCCATCCAAGAAGGGCCGCACAGGCCTGGCACATGACTGGCACATGCCGCGCACATGCGCGCACATGACAGCGCAAAAACAGCCGCACATACACCCACCCAGGGGTATAGATGTGAGCGCTGTGTAATACGCTCGAGGCGGATGCTGAGGATGATGACGAGGACGAGGACGAGGATGAGGAGTGAGCAAGTCTGGGATGACTGACCTGAGAGTCGCAATAACACTCAAAGTCACGACATAAGTATTTCGGCGGTGGGATGTAGTCCTCCCAACAGCCTGTCTAAAAGACCACTGGCGGACACCAGATCCCTGGCGCCTAATTTCTGCTCCAAAATGTGAGCCCCAGTGCTCCCGACCCCGTGCCCAGCGGCCGGTTTCTGCCACGCGGAGCCTCTTTTGTGGGCCGATCGATTTCCGAACAATCGCCACCCGAATCCGAAATCGCGCAACACTAAAAAACATGCGAGCGACAATCAGGAACGGGTCCTACGCGAGATGGCATGGCGACCCTACGCCGCGGCTTCAGCGGGCCGCCGGCGCCGCACGCCACCATGGAGACGAGGGCGCTTCCTCGCGAAGCTACGCGGGCAACTTGCTTCGCCAATGGCGGCGCAGTCGACCCCGCTCTTACTCCCTCGCCCACGTGTTCTCACGACGCCTGGAGCCTCGGCCACTCCTGCCAGATCCCCTCCCCCCTCCCAGGGCCTCTCCCGAAGCGCATTCCGACCAAGACCTCGAGACGGACACGACCGCGGCACCGCGAGCCCCCCAGGGGGGCCCGAAAAACAACAGGTAACTGCTAACCTCCTCCTCCTCCTCCTCCTCCTCCTCCTCCTCCTTTGGCGCTGCACGAACTTAAGCCAGTGTGCTGTAGCGTTCTCCTCCTCCCTCTCCTCCTCCCTCCTCCTCCTCCTCCTCCTCCTCCTCCTCCTCCTCCTCCTCCTCCTCCTCCTCCTCCTCCTGCTCTTCCTCCTGCTCTTCCTCCTGCTCTTCCTCCTGCTCCTACTGTTCCTACTGCTCCTGCTCCTGCTCCTGCTCCTGCTCCTCCTCCTCGAAAGCAGGAGGGAGGAAGAGCGATCGGGAAGCAAGGCGCCCAGTGGCCTGCCAGAATGCACGTCCACCACGCCGCCGGGGAAGGGCCCGTCGGTCCAGCAGACGGAGCACACGCAAATCGCCGCCGGTTGCGACCTCCCCGCAGCGGGGCCCCATGGGAGGACAGGGTCAAGCAGCATCGAATCGGGAACTCGGATCGAGAAAGGATGTGCGCCGCATCGGGCCGCTTCGGCACGGGAGCCAGACTCGAGCCGCATCGGCCGCGCGATGCTCAGCGGCGCCGTGCGACGATCGGGCCGCACCGGATCACAAGAACACCGAACCGGATCGCTCGGATCGGAGCGAACCTGGGAGGGCGAGGGGAGCAAGCGAGCGCCAGGGCCATGCGCGCTCCGCCGATTGGCCGCCAGGAAGCCCGCCCACGTCCACTGGGACATGGCGTGGGGAAGGTCAGCAGGGAAGTTCGTGAGCTGGCCCCCCTCAACATGACGAAACGTGACAGCCGCTTGATTCTCACGACTACAGTGGATCTTAAACGAGCGCTTGCAGTGGCATGGCGTGGGTGAGGCAGTGGCCTCGGCAGGGAAGTTCGTGAGCTGGACCATGTGATACGTGCGCACGGACTCACGCGTGCTCCCGAGGGACGACGACGAGGACGAGGGAGCCGGGAGAGCACGCGCCACGGCCAGCATGTCTCTGGCGACCACGAGTCTCCGGGTGAGCACCGTGCGTGCGGAGAGCCCTGCGCAGGGGGCAGGGAGGCAGGGAGGCAGGAGGGATGCCGGCAGGGAAGAGGGATGCTGGCAGTCCTGTTCTGCAGGGCCTGCGCGCCTTCTTCAACCGAGCGACAGACCGTCCGAGGTGCGGGGACTTGTACCCGAGATCCTGGGCTGGAGGCGAACGGGGAGCGATGCGGTCATTGCCGCTCGCGGTGTGCCATTCTTAGATGCGCGTGTGGCAGACTGGTAATCTTTTGTTACCGCCCGGAGGGCATCGTGTGAGAGCGCTAAGACACAAAGAGGAGCACTGCCTCAGCCCAGCGTGACGGACGCTGCCGCGAGCAGCGCCACGCAGGCTCCCAGCAGGTCCGGTGCCCGGCTCCCCGAATCCTGCGGCCCCTCTGCGCCAGCGGTGTTGGTTCCAGTGGTGGTGTGGGGCGACGTGGTGGTGAGCGTCTCTGTGGTTGTGTGCCAGGACGTGGTGCTGGTGCCCGACAAGCTGGTGGTCTCCGTGGTGGTGTGCGGGGTCGTGGTGACGGTCGTGGCACTCGTCGCCGAGGTGCTCGTCTCTGTGGTGGAGGAGGTGGTCGTCTCCGCCATGCCGAGCGCTCTGCAGTTGCCACTGCCCGCGCCGCCGTCCGAGTAGCACAGCACGGCGGAGCGGTCGTCGAAGCTGGCCACGGCCATGTGCTGCGTGGTGCCCGAGTTCACCTCGTTCGGGGGGCCGGCGCCGACGGCGGAGCCGTTCTCCACCAGGCCCACGACGTTGCAGGTGCCCCTGCCGTCGAAGTTCTCCGAGTCCGCCGACCCCGTGGGGGTGGCCGGCGCGAGAGACGCCTGCCCTCCCCGCTGCCCTCCCCAGGAAGGCCCTTCCCCCCGAGGGGTGGAGGTCCCCAGGACCCCCCAGAAGGCGCAGCGGCGGCCACGAGAGAGGGGGCCCCCAGAGAGGGCCCCAGGGAGGCCCAGGACTCCCTGGGCGGACGGTGTGCGGCTCAGCCTGCTGGATCGATGACGCTGCCGTCTGGGTCGGCCGAGTAGCACACCAGGGCGGCGTCCTCGGTGAGCGCGTCCGCGGTCAGGTACAGGGACGGGAAGGCCGTGACCTCGCCCGCCTCCCCGTAGCTGAGGGCAGACCCGTCGACGAGCAGCGCCCTGCAGTCCACGCGGTTCTTGGCCACCTTGTCCGCCCAGCAGACGAGGCCGCGCGCCGCGGTGAACCTCACCAGCACCAGCCCCTTGAACGCCTCGGAGTCCCCGCTGAAGAACCTGGCGATGGCGCCCACGGCGAAGTCCTGGGAGCCAGAGCCCGAGAGGCTCAGCGCCACGCAGTCGCCGTCCCCCTGCGCGCTCCAGCAGACCACCGCGCTCGTCTCGGAGAAGGCCTGCACGGTGACGTCCGAGGTGGAGAAGGCCTGGTCGAAGCACGCCGGCCCCCCGCTCGCAAGGGGGCGCACGCGCGCGCGAGGCGACGCCCCCTTGATCGGCCCCCATGGCCCCACGCTCCCCCCAACCTTTGTGCCCCCCCCCCCCGGCGGAGCGAGAGCAAGCTTGTGCCCCCCCCCCCCCCCCGAGGAGCTCCTGGGAGGCCCCAGGAGGAGGCCTCAGCGACGTGGTCCAGGCATGCTCAACGCATCTCCCGGCGGGCCAGCGGAGTGGCGCAGAGCCTCTGGTATACGTCTTACTTCCGACCGCGATCTGCCCCGCCTGCCCCAGGGTCAGCTTGTTGCAGACGCCGGCCCTGTCCTTCACCTCGTTAAGCGGCTCAGACCAGCAGACGATGCCGACCTCGTGCGTGAGGCTCGCGACGCTCAAAAAGGACACCTCCACTGCGACATCGTCGACGGCATAGGGCTCGCTGGGCTCGATGCTGCTGCCACCGACATCGAGGTACCTGCACGTGAGGTGGTCCGTGCCGGCGTGGTCCAGGTAGCAGACTACAGCAGCCGACGAGGAGAAGGCAGCCACATTGATGTACTGGGTGTGGTTGGCGTTGAAGACCACCGAGCCCTCCTCGGTGACCGCCATGCCATCCACGTCCACACTGAGGATCTTGCAAATGCCTGCGCCGCCGTCCGCGTAGTCGGAGTCCGCCACCGTGCCTCTGGGCACGGAGCGGGCGTGTCCTCGGGTCCTTTGCCTAATCCCTGGAGCCTCAATCAATCCTTAGTCCTGAGGAGTCTTTCAGGGGCCCGGACCCTTTCGAAGGATTTGGCGTTCTCGCCTGTTCTGCTCTCCGACGCTCCCAGACGGCCCTGGAGGCCCTCCAGACCGCCCCAAGCGGCCTCCCAAAAGGTCCCCAGACGGCCTAAGATCGCCGTGAGACAGTCAAAGAAGTGCCCAAGACGGCCCAATAGGCGCCCACAAGACGGCCCTGAAAGGGGCCCCAAAGAGGGACCACGAACCGTAAATCCGAGCCTTCCGCCCCAAGAGGCCCCCAAGGAGGCCCCCAGGATGCGCCCAAGAGGCCCCCAAGAGGCCACCAGGCGGCCCAAAACAGACCCAAAAGGAGCCCCCAAGAGGCCTCAAACCTGCCTCCGAGAGGCCTCCCCACGAGATCCCAACGAACATCCAACAGGCTTCATACCCGCAATCCAGGCACGGTGGCGAGATGGGCCGAAGGCCATTAGATAGCACTCGATCAGCCGGGAGGCATCCAGCTTGCTCACCGAGCTGAAGGCGGTGCCGCGCGACGGGTTCACTGCCAACGGCTCACCACCGTCCACATCGTACACGGGGAACGCGCTCACGCCGACCGTCAGCAGCACCGCCGAGCACGCGCGGCTCAAAAAAGACATCCTGCGCAGACACTGGTGCTGGATGTCTAGGCGGCGGGCCCTGCCGAAATCCCACGAGAGAGAACCGTTACCCTCGATCGAACAGAAAAACTGCCACGGGGAGGATGAAGAAGGTACGTAATCATTCCCAGCCCACCGCTCAGCAGTTGACGGGAAGTTGTTGTAGATTAACCTTCGTGCTGGGGGGTCCTGGCGTCTTGTTGAAGCCTGTGGAGGCTTACCTATTGGGGCATCCTGTGGTCTCTTGGCGACGTCTGAAAGGGGGCTCTTGGGGCCTTCTAGGGATATCTCTGGGCCCATCGAGTGCGTCTTGGGCCCTCTGGGTTATATTGCGGCTCGTCCCTGTAACAATATATTGCGGCCTTGTTGCATCTTGGGGCACATTTGAAGCCTGGGGTTCTGGGTGCCGATCCCATGATGACCTCCCACGCGACAGCGCCGGTTGGGGATCCGTCACCAGAGTCCAAGTATTGCAGGACTGATCATAAGCTGCGTAAGGAAGCGCGGTTGAGGTCCTTGCCCCCTCACTAGGGAGCGGGATGACGCGAATTCCACCAGCCCTCTGGGCGTAGGTGGTCTAGTGAGTTTCCTCTTCCAACCCCATTTCTTCCCTCTCGGGGAAGGGTTTATCACTGTTCCATATTAATACACACCCCCTCCCCCAAGTGACCGGCGTCCAACCAGGAACCATGAGGACACCATGGCGACCCGCCCCCCACCATCCCTGTCAAAAAATGATACAAACCGCACTTTGCCTCCACATTTGGAGCATGCGCGGCCAACCCGATATGGCCCCCTCCACCACCCTGTGAAAAACAATACAAAGTACACTTCGGGACAAAATCTTGAGTCATGTTCGTGAGGCCCGCGAGCACTTTGTGTGGTTTTTGAAAGGGGCGGCGGGGGTGTAAGCATATCCCTGCTGCGCGCAGAGCTACCACCCCTGACAAAAACAATACGACATGCACCTCGCGGCTAAATCTGGATCGTGCGCGGCATTCCGCGATCACTGTAAAATGGTTTTTTTTTGACAGGGACGGCGGAGGGGGTGGCGCGTGGCCTGCTGTGCGCAGGCCCACCAGACACAATGATGGGCATCGGTTTTCGACAAGGATGGCGGGGGCCGACACGTTTCCCGATGTGTGCTGTCACGTGCGCAGGCGCACGTGACGCACTCAGCACGTGCCCCGAACGCGGCACACCTGGCGCGGCTGGAGTGTGCGGCGCACCTGGCGCACTCGGAGCACGTGGCGCACCTGGCGCACCAGGCGTGCCTGGCACGCTCGGGCCCCAGGGGTGCCTGGCGCGCGTGGCGCCCCTGGCACGCATGGCGCACCTCGCCCAAGCGTCGCGGACATGGGGTCGGCTTTGGTTCCCAGTAGGTGCCCACCCAAACACGACCGCTTAACACGCAGAGACTGGGGCGTTACTTATGTGTTGGGAGGGCGGGTGGAAATGAGCTAGACGGCTTGCGGGCGGGTGGGTAGCTTGACCACTGTTTCCTATTCGTATACGCCCCCTCCCCCAGGCGACTGGGAGCCAACCCGAGACCATGCGCCCCCCCACCATCCCTTGTTAAAACATACAAAACACACTGTCTCCAAATTCGGAACATGCGCAGCGAACCCGATGCGGCCTCCCCCCCACCATCCCTTTTCAAAAAACATGCGAAGTACACTTGGCGGCGGCGGCGGCTGCGGCGGCTGCGGTGGGGGCAGCGGATGCGGCGGTGGCGGCGGCGGTGGCGGCGGCGGCGGGGGCGGCGGCGGCGGGGGAAGCGAAGGGCGGCGGCGGCGGCGGCAGCGGCTGCGGCGGCAGCGGCTGCGGCGATTCGGCAGCGGGGGCGGCGGCGGCGGCGGCGGGCGGACAGCGGCGGCGGCGGCGGCGGCGCGGCGGCGGCGGCGGCGGGCGGCGGCGGCGGCGGAGGCGGCGGCGGCGGCGGCGGACTCGCCCCCAGTAGCTGCCCATCCTAAGACGACTGCTGCATATGCTGCGGCTCGGGCCAGGCTCGGGTGCTACGTATGTGTTGGGAGGGCGGGTGGGAGTGAGCAAGACGGCTTGCGGGCAGGGGGGGTGTTGACCTTTCCCCCTGCCCCCTCCCCTGGGCCTGGACGGGCGGAGCCGCGACCCATTGGAGCGTCCAAAACGGCCTCGGCGAGGAAGCCCACATCATTGGTTGTGCTAGGGTTTGGGGCCCAATTTGGCCTCTTGGGGGGGGAACGGTAAAACAAGCTCTCCTCTTGTTTGATCGATCTCTTCCACGATGATTCCAAAAACGCACGTAAAGCTCTCAATAACGCTCCAATATAGCCCCAAGACTCGCCCAGACGGCCCCAAGAGGCCTCCAAGAGGCTCCCAAGAGACCCCCAAGAGGCCCCAAAAGGTTTCAAGAGGATCTCCGAAGCACCCGAGATCCCCCCCAGACGCTCCAAGAGGCCCCCTCGAAGCACCCAAGACGCCCAAGAGCCCCCCAGGACCGCTACGAGACCCCCAAGACGTCCCAAGAGGCCACCAGGAACCGCCTCAGCCATACCCCAAGAGGCTCCGAGAGGCATCGAAGAGACCTCTGGCCCTTTTGTTCGCTCTCCTCCTCCTCCTCGTCCTTCCTCCTGCTCCTCTTATTATTCTTATTATTCCTCCTCCTCCTCATCCTCCTCCTCCTCCTCCTCCTCCTCCTCCTCCTCCTCATTCCCATCCGCATCATCATCCTCATCCTCATCCTCATCCTCAGCATCATCACCATCACCATGTCACCATCATCATCATCATCCATCACCATCATCATCAGCATCATCAACATCATCATCATCATCATCATCATCATCATCATCATCATCATCATCATCATCATCATCATCATCAACATCATCATCATCATCATCATCACCATCA